CCGCGCCGCAGCCTGCCCAGGCCTCTGCTCGCACCCCTTGTGTCCTTCTGAGGGGTTGAGACTGTTATGTGTGTGAATCGTGGTGATATAAACGCCACAAGGTCTCCTCGCTGCCCTCAGACACCTCAGGATCTACTCCCTGCCATCAAGCCCCTCAAATCTCCTCACCACCCCAAAACCCCTCACATCTCCCCCTGCCCTCAGACCCCTCAAATCTCCTCACCACCCTAAACCCCCTGAGATCTCCTCACCACCCACAGACCCCTCAGATCTCCCCCTGCCCTCAGACTCCTCAGTTCTCCTCACCACCCCAAAACAACCCAAGATCTCCCCCTGCCCTCAGACCCCTCAGATCTCCTCAAAACCCCAAAACAATCCAAGTTCTCCTCACCACCCTGAGACCCCTCAAATCTCACCACCCCAAAACCCCTCACATCTTCCCCTGCCCTCAGACCCCTCAGACCTCCTCAGACCCCAAAACCCCTCAGATCTCCCTGCCCTCAGACCCCTCAGATCTCCCCCCACCCCAAAACCCCTCACATCTCCCCCTGCCCTCAGACCCCTCAGATCTCCCCCCACCCCAAAACCCCTCACATCTCCCCCTGCCCTCAGACCCCTCAGATCTCCCCCCACCCCAAAACCCCTCACATCTCCCCCTGCCCTCAGACCCCTCAGATCTCCCCCCACCCCAAAACCCCTCACATCTCCCCCTGCCCTCAGACCCCTCAGATCTCCCCCCACCCCAAAACCCCTCACATCTCCCCCTGCCCTCAGACCCCTCAGATCTCCCCCCATCCCAAAACCCCTCACATCTGCCCTTCTTCAGTGCTGTGGGACATGTACTCAGCAGTGTCACTACAAGCAACACTGTCCCTTAAACACGAACATTTTAGAAAGAATTGGGATAACAAATGGCTGCCAAAATGACATTAAAATTATACCTGTTTTTATAACCCTCTTTCTCCCCCTTTCTGCCTCCTCACAGTTGGTATTGAAGATGCCCCAAGGCTGTAATTTCAACTAAGTCATGTCACTGTCCCAGCTCAACCAGGTTATTAGTTTTAGAGCAAGTTAGTTGGTTCTTTGTGGCAAGGATCTGGTCCCAGTGCTGGAGGAGCTGCCCTCAAGAAGCAGCAAGTCCACCTCCCTAACTCCTGACAGAAAATCCAACCTCTTTTATTTAAACTGATGGGGACTGTTTTGAAATTTGGTGCCAGGACAGCCAGAGCAGCCATGGGAACAGACTGGGGGACTGGGGACTGGTGACCCAGTGCTGCAGTAAAAGCTACCCCCTGGTGTGGGACACACACTGGGGCAGACCATAGGAAGGACTAAGGCACTGTGAAGTTCCACTTGCAATATCATCAGCACTTTATTGACCTGTCAGCCCATGGGAATGAATGCCCAGCTGCCCCACAGCTGCACTGCAGGAAGGATGGAGCCCAGGGGACACCCTCAGGGCTTTCTGCTTCAAGTTCCTCCTTTTTCACAGTGGGAAGGATGCTGGTGACTTCACCTGTGAGGCCCTGGGAAGGCAGGTGCCACCAGCTGGGGGACAGAAGGCTAAGAAAACTGAGCCAAGCACTCCTCTTTCCCACCTGACTGGGAGGCAGGTGCCCTTCCCCTGCCAGCAGAAAGCACCTCCAGGGCAGTCCCTGCAGCACTGCCAGCTCAGCAGGGATGGTGCCATGCACCCCATCACAGTGCAGGGCACAGGGAAGACCCCAGACCCTGCCCTCTGGCTGCACACAGCCCACCTGGGCAGCACCACGGGCAGGTAAAGTCAGCCCTGCCCTCCCCGGGCTGACAAGAGAGTCTGCCTAGGAATGTAACACAACACAACAGCAGCTTTCCCTTGGGTCACCAAGCTGCTCTGAAAAAGGCACTTACACTCCCCCACCCCTGTGAGGGAGGACATACCTGGGAGAGGAAAAAAAGAAATAATAATAATCAAAATCAATCATGAAAAGGGGATTTTTAGAAGAGGGTTGGTTGGGCAGTGCAGCACCACAGCAGCACTGCTCCCCGGCAGGGTCGGGATCAGCAACCCAGAGTTATCCCAGCCAGCAGCTGCTCTCTAGGACAAGCCAGAGGCTGTGGCACCTGCCGTGGGGCTGGGGTCCGGGAGAACGGACCTCCTGCCAGCCCAGGAGGAGGTCTGTGCCTGCAGCTGCCCGGCCAGGGGGCTGTGGGGATGGAGGCAGCAGAACCTCCCCAGCGCCCAGATGGGGAAGACGTTGCGGTAGGAGGTGTAGCTGATGGCACACGACTTGTTGAAGACCCCAGCAATGTTCTCCTGCAAGTGAGGCAGACAGAAGGATGGTGTGGGGTGACAGGGGGACGTGGTGTCCAGGTGCTGAGCTTGTCGCTTTCCCCAAGTTCCCCTTCCCCACCCCTTTCCAAACGAGGGAAAGCACAGCATTGCAAGGGCTGCACGGTGCCCAGGACACCTGCAACACCAGGAAAACCCCTCGGGGGAAAAGAAAAAAAAAAAACAAAACAGGTGGAAAGATGTACCTGAGGCCAGTCTCCGTTGGGCAGCTGCTTCTCCATCAACAGCTTGATGCCCCTTTCCAGCACACTGAGCTCAGGGTACCTGCAAAGCAGCTCTTAACCCAAACTGTCTGCCAACCCCCAACCACGTGCTGAGTGGGGAACTCAAACCCCCCCACCCCCTAGGCTGCCCTAGGCATGCTGAGTCCTTTGGGAAGACCCCTCACAACCCCAGGACACTTGACACGATGAACACACAGCCACATCCTCAGACCTTTGCTCTGCACTGGCTCCCTCCCCGGCACGACAAGAACAGCTCAGACCGGCCACCAACAAGCTCACGAGCAACGTGGACCAACAGCAGCCAGGCCCAGGGGCAGCACAGCCTGCAGTTCCCACCTCACCAAGCCCTCGGGGCCAAGCAGTGCCTGCTCCTACCTGACAGCCATGAGCCCCAGCAGGGCCCAGCAGGTGTTGTGGATCTGCGAGCTGGCGCTCTGCACGTAGGTGCGCCGCTCGCAGGACTCAAAGTCCTCTCCCCACCCACCATCTGCCATCTGCTTGGAGAGAAGGAACTGGCAGGCCTGGACCACCTCTCGGCACGCAGCCCTGTGAGGGACAGGGCACAGAATTAGAGGGGGATGAGGGCAGGGGGACCATTTGCACACCCCATGTTTCCCAGCTGCAAACGGGAGCCCACGGCCGGGGCTGTCCCAAGGGCTGGAGGCTCAAGCAGCCTGATCTGGTTATGATGCCCACGTAGGGTTTGTGAGCTGTACCTGCTGCAGCCAGGGCACCCACCCAGCCCCAGTCTTGCCCCAGCCCAGGAGGTAGGTGTGGGCCAGAGGAATCAGAAAGCCCCTTTTCTCACCCATCACGGTACGTCTGCTGCATCGTGGCAAACGCCTCCAGGCCAAACCAGGTGCCGTAGGTGAAACAAACCCCCCAGCTCCTAGGAGGAAGGGGAAAAGTGGTTCTGTCAGGGGCAGGCACAGTCACACAGCGAGAGCAGAGCTGCAGCCTGCCTCCCCTCGTGGCCCAACCATGCCCACTCCCCCCAGCACTTGCTCACCCTTCCCACGACCCATCAGCTCGCTGCTGCTTGCGGCAGAACTCCAGCCCCTTCTGCAGAGTCTCTCTGGTCAGGAGAAAGACATTGGCTTCAGAAGTAGCTCAAACTCAAGTGGCTGCTTCATCGGGGGGGGCCCCATTGGTCCCCATGAGGCTTTGGTGGGTCCAATTAACAGAAAGCTCATGAGGCAAGAGGGAGCTGTGTTGTTCGTGATCCCAAAAGAGCACACAGCTGTGGGCTTCTGGCCTCCTGCCCATGCAGGAGACCCAGCCTGCAACTGGCTGCAAGATCAAGGCAACTGAAAGGTCAAGAGGCAGGCAGATCTTCACCCTCAGCCTGACCTCACACAGCCTATGCCCATTGTCTTGTCTGGGGCTCTGGTTTGGAGAAGTCACCAGCACCCCAGCTGTGCACGTGCTAAGGGCCAGCACAGGGGCAGAGGTTCAGGCAAGACCCCTGACAAGGCTCAGCAGGGGCTGTGCCAACAGAGGCCATGGCAGGGGGGCGGTGACG